TAAACGGGGTCATTTTAAGCACCACAGAAGACAGAGCTTGCAGCTGAAAGCTTATAACCATAGATGAGTATTTTATAAGAGAGAGCAATTCAGGCGTACTAGAGGTGGTGAAAAAAGCATTCACTGAAGAGTAACACATACACAACAGATTCAAACAAACGAATTTGAAAAGGGACAGTTAAATAAGGTTAAACGAAGCCCAAAGAGGAAACCTTACACACTCCCAATTCAACTGGTAATTAGTAAGGTCCTAGTGTGAGAACAAGACAGAAGAAAGTACCGCTAAAACGCACCTTGGACCACTGTCTCCAAACCCCTAAATCTTTGACAAGCCTTAAACAGAGCTGCTTACCATAGAATGGGTGGTATTCAAGGCGACACTGCCAGGCTGATGAGGGAAATGCATGATAGAATGAGGCTGATGCGGTTGCTGTCTAGTGGGTGGAAAAGACGGCGGTGGTGGCAGAGGGGGCGGAGGCGCTGGAGAAACAGGAGCGGAGCGAGCAGCGGGAGATTGACGGTGACTAATTGGAGTAGTCGGCGTGGGACCCGGACTGCTCATTGCTGTGGCATCACCGGCAACAGTTGAGGTGGTCGCCGCCATTAGAGTTACACGCCGATTGCTGACACCGGGACCGCCGCTGGCAGAATCGATGGAGCGCCAGAACTGCGCAGCTGGGCCTCGGGATGAATATGGCTGTGGTGGACACACTTGTGAATGCATGTTAGTTTTGGTACGGAGCGATGTTTACATACTTTCCGTGATACGCCTGAAAAAAGGACAGGATTAAATTTACTACCTGCAAATCTCACACAGAAGCTAATAATGTGCAAGTAAAATCGACTGGCTATGAGTTTGACCATAAATGGAAGGATACTAATTAAATTTTACACTAACTGGACTACCATACTGTGGTTGGTACTTTTCAAGTCATTAAAAATCACAGGAATGTAACTGATCTAAAAATCATGACATATGAAATAAGGGTCGTTCACAATGGAAAAACTCCACACAATTACATTGGCTCCATCAATTCATTACGCTTCATAAATTTTGACGATTCATGACATAAAATCGCCTTTAAATCTACGTGATTTGGAGTATAATAGAAGAAACGAATAACCTGGAAATAGAGAGATCGTCAGGCTAAATCATTCATCATGGTGCTAGATAGTTGCATGAGAGTAGAAATGGAAACATACTGAACGCTAGTTCAAGAGGCAGAAAAGCAATTTGGACCAATTAATCATTGCAAAAAGGAAACCAGTATTGCTCATAAGAGTCCGATTGGGAATACAAACAATGAAGGTGCAAATCTGATCTCCTTCAGCGCAGCTACACCACACCAGGTCATCAAGCGAAGGAAAAACACAAAGAATATTAGCTCATGAAAACATCTGATAACAAGCACCTAGCCCGCCGAGAACACAAACTAAGATGGCACCACTGAACAACGCGGGCGGTCAAAAACGGCCTTGGGACATCATCCCTTTGCTTACCTGGCACTTCAAAAAAAAATTTTGAGGCATAATACCAGACACAAAGATAAAAAGAGAGTGTATTTTGTTTTCAACTTGTTTGTTGACATTTATTATGAAAAATTCTAATGAATTCGCCATATCTGCTCACTATGTAGCTCTCGAAAGAGATCAGATCAAGCAGGCCCTGAACTTAATTTTGGATGATGTGAAACAGCAAGTTACAGGGGTATATTTAAAGCCTTTTGGAGGGCTAACCAGTAAGTAAAAGAAACTACGTCTACAGAATGCTAGCATTTGAGTTATATTACTGAATCATAAGAAAATCCTTACTGTAACTAACGTGTTTGAAAATGAGATGATCCGTGACTTATGAATTACTTGAAAACATTTGCAGGAATTTATTTAAAAGTTATCTTAGACATACTATTTCTACCATTGTGCTTCCAACCTCTGAATTTATACTCTTGTATCAGGAACACTTGTTAGATGACGACGTCTTGTACTGTGATGATGTGAATAAAAAATCAACGTTTTTTCGAAGAATCAAAATTTGGCTTTCTTGACAGTATAGCTATTTCTAAAACCAGTATCCTTAATTAGCTGCGTTCATTAACCGCATCGTTGGCCCCAAATATCTCGTTGATTTAAGTTGTCTTCATTGTTGCGCTAACGTCACATAGGAATTTTCCACGGATTAACCCAAATCTCCGTGACATCAAAGTAAAAAATAATCGCAAACCAAAGTACTGTGTAAACCTGCAAAGATGATGTACCAACATTTTAGAAGAATAACAAGAACAATGCGATGGAACTTTGAGGAACAGTGAATCCCTTAATCTTTTATTTGAATATGATAGGAGGCCTCGTGCTCGTTTATAATTCTGATTACCAATTTGCTTTTTATGTTCCACGAAACTCCCTACTATCTCAGTGACTATGTCTAGTTGTATCGATTCACGCTCCCCTCTCTCAACGATTTGAATGTGCCCCACATTGAAGGAAGAAATTTTCAAGTGCCTGAGTCACGTGAGCAGTTACAAAGTAATCAAATATGCATGGCCTCCTGACCATACATCTGGGCCAATGTGGAGTGCAGATTGGCAACGCGGTATGGGAGTTGTTGGCCTGTGAGCACGGAATCGGTGTGGATGGAAAATTGTACAGCACCCTTAACAGCGCCCTCGGCTGCGACCGACCTGAGCAAGGAGAGGATATTGGTGTCTTTTTCAGCGAATCGAGGCAGAGATATTATCCAAGGGCTATTATGGTAGATCTAGAGCCAACTGTAATCGGTAAGTGGATGTTGTATTCGATCTAATCAGGAAAATCCTAAGTGAATTTTGCCTTTTTGAATCACTGCTAGACCGAATTAGCATCCCTAACTTATTGTAAAAGCGGGATTTATCTGGAGTGTTTGATATAACAAAATACACAGCAAGCATAACATTAAAGCTTGGACAACACTAGTAAGAATATTGTATTTTGAAGCACGATGTGCATACGAAATAATGGGTCAACCTTTGCTTGGCCGTGCAAGAGATCACGAGATACTCTTCATTGAGGTGGGGCGCGAAAGCGCGTAGATCCCAAGCCATCCACTATTTGTGTAAAAATGCTGCATTCTTATGCTTTTCCACCTGGCCGAGTTCGTAGGTTTCTAGGACATTACTAATTGAAACATGAATTCTTGTGTCACTGACAGAAAATGAAAGGAAATCTTCAAAGTGTATCCTCGCAATGGGGCCTGGTACGCTAGGCAAAAACGAATCTTATCCGGGACTTGAAAAAACTTTATGCTAGAGAAATAATGGTTCGCGATTTATAATTTAAAGGCGAATTTTTGGAGGAGTAAAGTTCTCTCGTTATCATTGGCAGATCTTTGGTTAACGGTTATTGGTGAGTGAGCGTTGGATTCTAGCCAATCGGCGTTCAGATCATAGGTCTGGCACACTACGTAGGTATGATGGACTACAGTAGAGGCAAGCCTCTACACGTATGTAGCGTCCCGAGACTTCCCTGAAGATGAAAGAAGACACAACACTCAGGCAGAATATATATTCGGCACAGAGAAGGTGTCTGGCTATTGGCATGGCTCGAAGGCCAGCCCACCCAGCAAGGCACAAGAAGGCTAATTCAAAGCACAAAAGTAGCGCCTCACCAATACCGAGGGATAAACCACTATCTTTTGAGCATCGTCCCCTGC